ACTGGCTCTGCCACACCCTCCCGTCTTTGCCCGTTGTGACACGAGAGGCAGACACACCCGTGTGAAAAGCAGAACAGAGCACAGAACAAGCCACGCTTCACGGCCACAGGTGCCACGTATGTGGGTAAGGCGACCACCACGGGATGGAAGAATAGATGCGGACGCCCTCTCACGCCATGTCATGACAGAGGGACGCCCATCCTGAGGTTCAGTGGACGGAGCTGGGGGTGACGCCCACCCGGAGGGTCAGGGACACCCCGCCCCCAGTTCACTGTGCGAGGACACACGTGGAACCCCCCTGGGGACAATCCAGCCCAACACTGGGGCACGGCGGCCCCCTGACCCCCACGACGCGGTGACGCCCCTCCGTCTAGGAAGCCGTGGGCACATGCGTCCACCTGGCATGTGTCCCCGCAACACCCTGTGACCGCATCCTCCTTTGTCCTCCCGTCCTTGAACAGCAGAGGAACCCGACACAAAGGTCCCACGACCCTGAGGTGGGGCCGACCGCGGAAGCCAACTGCGGGGGACTGAATCAGTCCCCCGAATCCACGTGCGCAAGCCTGACCACCAAGGGGGCCCTGGCAGCTGGCGGGGAGCAGATCAGGTCAGGACGGCGGGGCCCACACAGTGCGTTAGTGCTCTCGAAGGTGTCCCTAGAGCTTCCTGCCCTCCGCCCACAGCCACGTGGGGACACGGCAGAGGGGACCGTGTGTGGCCCTCCAGAGGCCTCCCCAGAACCTGACCCCGGTGTCCCCTCCCGCTGGCACCCTGGTCTCAGGCCGCAGCCTCCAGAACCAGGAAGGAGAAGGGTCTGACGTTTCAGCTGCCCCGTCTGTCCGTGGGGCGTGGGACGACCCAGCCGCCAGCATGTGCCGTCCCCTCCAGCAGCTGCTCACAGGCCACTGACGGGGGTGCAGGACTCCCGAGGAGAGGGCAGCGGTGCCCACGGCCAGCGCGTCACCGAGGGCGCCCGCCCCTCCAGGCCCCGGCGACAGGGCCTGGTGTCGTGGGGGGCAGCCACAGAGTGCCGCCCGACCTTCCGGAACAGACCGCTCACCTGCTGCAGGCACAGGAGCAGGGACAGCGCGTTGCGAAGCCTGTCGTTCTGTCTCGTCCTGGTCATGGTCTCCTTGATGATGTCACCAAAGTGATGGTAATGCTGAGAGCGAAGACAGGCGTGCGTCAGCACAGGGACGCGGCAAGCACAGACACGTTACCACACCGTGTCCCAATGCTGCGAACCCTAAGGACAGCCACGGTGCTCGAACCCCAGGACCTAGACGGACGTGGATCCCGCCGGCCACTCAGCACCAACCAGGCCCCGCATCAGGGCCAGCGGTGGGAGCACGTCCACAGGACCTGGGAAGCCGAAGCCATCAGGCATCAAGGTCCTGGGGCCAGCTGCACTCCCAGGACTGGCTGGGCCCCTCCCTCGGGGATGCTTCTTCCGTGGGGAGGGCAGGGCCACCGGGCATGGAGGGCCGGGAGCAAGGGAGCGAGGCCTCTCGGAGCCACCGTGACGTGCCCCTGCCACGACTGCGCCAGCCCGCAGACGCACGGCCACAGGACCCTGCCGTCACAAGATCGGCTGCACGCGGTCTCGGTAGTGACGAAAGCACGAAACTGAGGGAACGGCTTTAAAAGACAGCACGTGATGTCCCGAGTGAAGAAACCCGCTAGACGTCAGGTGTGGGGAGAGACGACAGCGCTACAAAAACGCACATGTGATGCTAACGGGGACGCGGTCCCCACGCGCGCTGCACTGGGCTCGTCCGCAGGAAGTGGTGGGGGCCACGAGAACCGTGCGTCCATAAGACTGGGCAGCGGCCACCCGTGCTCTCCGTCTGTTTGGAATCTGTCACCCCGACTCTGTGTCTTGCGCAGGAAAGCAGTGGGCGGGGGAGCCCGGCGGGGGCTGGGGGGGGCAGGGGGGCAGGAGGGC